GTAGTCCTCTCGATCTCGAGCCGCCTGTAATTGAACAAAAAGACTTAGATGCAATAAAAAGATTTCAGTGTGTCATTCTTAAATGTTTATTTGCCTTTTTGATTTCTTCAAGTGCGCTATCCAAGTTATTAATAGCACAAATCGTGACATGCGCTCCTTTTGAAGCCATTAGCTTGGCGATTTCTTTACCAAGTCCACTACTACCACCTGTAATGTAAACGTGCTAATCATATCAAATAATAAAGTATAATAATACTTTAATTGTTTAATCTTTTAAATGAAGTACAATTAGATAAAGCCTTACCATCCCTTTGGGACAGAACTTATCCCTTCTTAAAACTTTTGTAAACAAAGATTTTCCTATTAAAAGCATAAATATCACAATAATAATCGAGGATGGAAAGTACAGCATTTTAAATATTTCATTGCGTAATAAAAACTGAAGGACATTATTATCAAGCAGTGAGCACATTATGTTCCTTATCATTTTTTTAAAAAATTTCGTTTGCGAGATGATCAACTTATAAATTAATGCTGCCAAGTAAAATCAGGCTTTCTGCTTTCAATATTATCATTGATAACTATTGTTTGGTAACCGAAACTATTTGTAACGTCCCAAACCATGTGTTAATCAGTAAAACATTGGTTTCGCGCTTTTGTTTTTATTTGAGACGTCCTAAATAGTTTGTGCTACACTACTAATTGGTGATGTATGATATGTAGTTATGTATTATATGTTGCCATTAAATTTTTGAAGATCCGAATCTGATAAATCATAATAATAAACTTGGAATTCTGAAGTTTCATTTTCTCTTTGCAACACCAAATATAAAAAAGTTTGCTGTCGTCAATTATTGCTGTTCCGAATTAGTTCAATAAATGCTAGTTTGTGAATCCTATTAATCCTGTACATGCAATGATAAGCACAATACTCACATGATACACAAAAATAGTAAAATCATAAAAAAAAAAATAGGATTAATTTATTTGCAGCCATGGCTACATACAGCCGTATTCTATCATTTTGATAATGACTCAAAATTTTTACTAGGATAACCCTGTTGTATAACTAAGCAAAAATGCACCTCTCGCAATATTACCCTACCCTGTCCCTAATCTTAAGCAGCATATAACTTTTTTTTTTTATATATATATATAAAAACATTATTGATAGTACGGCTATGGTTACAAATAAATTAAATTTTAAAAGATAACGATAACGATAATAATGGTTTGATATTTAAAAATTGAGTACGTATCCGGATTTGGCAAT